TCGTACCACACAAGTCTTGTACATGACCATTCAGCACATAGTTATAGGCATCTAAAGATTTACATGCCCTCCGTTTCTCTATCAGGTAGATGTAGAAGTCAGTTCACTCAACCGGAGGTAACGTTAACGTTAATCCTGTCAGATCCTCAATGAGTGTACGGGTCGGCCAATCTGGTTCTGTCCGATTAAAATGAACTTTTGCAAATAACAATCGTGGTCCTGGACAGTGAGTGACCTTGCACATTAAGATAAAATCGGATTTTCTCCAGTCATTGTTAAAAACAAGCTAACAAAACTTGCAGACTTTACGTTAGAGAAGCAGCCAGAGGGATCGTTCTGCCACCACCTAAGCTCCGCCCACATAAAAACGTCACCATGTTTACCAACTGAAAATTGGTCTATTGACACAGAACTAATCTGATGATGCATATTCATACTTTGCAAGTGACGTCACAAGTACTGGCTGGCGGGCAAGAACGTCGTTCTCTAGCAACTAAACCCAGTTAACTAATCAAGGATCGTGCCAGGACGTCGCCAGTTTTAATATACAAAAGTTGGTGTTTTGAGGTGTAAACGACATGCCAGATAGTTGTTGTGCGATTGGATGCACAATGTCAATCGTGTAATCTGTAATCTTAACATAAATGTGCTTACACGTTCGCCAGTAGGTGGCGAGAACGCGTTCATCTGTACGTGATTTGATTTGATATGATATGAGAAGATGAATACATGGAGAATGAATGACACGTTACTGTTGTAGTGCGTCTACTTATTACTTACTTACAGTTACTTTGCATGCATAGGCCTACTATTGTACACTATACTACATTACAGCCTAACAGATTGCTAACAAGATTATACGCATTTCGCTGCTCTTGTCTGTTGTTTGATGCTATATGGAGTGGATAAGCTGGTAGGCTACAATGTTTGACATCCTGCTAGCCATATATGATACAGTTGGCATAAGTTTTTCTTTTGTACTACTTATCAAGCTGTCATTCGCCGGCAGGCAGGGTGTACATATTCAGATGAAGACTTCATCACACGATGGAACAGATGTCATTTTGTGTATCTGCAATTAAACGGACCTTTGCTTTGATTATGAAGATATTCCTGTTTTTCACCTCCCATACGACAGCGTTGTTAACCCATCCACTCTTGAAAAAAAGATAGCTATCTGTACTTTTGTAGGCATTTTTGTGCGGTGTAAGGTGACGGATTCTCTATAAGAGATATATGTAAATATCTCCAAACTGCAAGTCTGGTAGAGACTTTGCCAGCTTCAAAGCAATGAAAACATCAGCGGGTTCTGTGTATGGATCACACGTTCTGAGTATGTTAATCTTTTCTTGATATCTAATTTTAACATTCGGTGACATATGGTCTAAATAGTTAAAGGAGCTGTATGTAAGAAATTTATTTCAATTAATCATAAAATGGCCCTGAAATGTCACTAGACATTAAGAAATCATGTACATTTCAAATACTTATATCACTGACAACAGTAGTCTGGCCAGGATATTGTCATTTAAAAAGTGCAGTTGCAGCCCTCAACTGATGTTGATGTTGTCATGTTGTGTTTTGGTCTGATGCTCCACCCTCCACCTATCTACCAATCACGAAGTCAGTAGTGTTGCAGCATCCGGGTTGCCAGCTCTGCTCTAGTTACCACAGCTGCAGCTCGTCACGTTCCTGCTGGATCCTGCAGCCGATCTGGCAACCTCGAGTCAGGGAGGAGGGGGAGGGGATACTGGATACTACAGTAATTTGACAGTGATGGCAGTACTAGTTTTGGCCACAATCTTACATACAGCTCCTTTAATTGATTGTAGTATTGGACATTTTCAAGGCTGCAATTACCCTGGCTGGCCACTGTTTGTCGCCATTTTGTCAGCGGTTGTTGCCCGCCAGGAATCGATGGTAGTCACGTGACTGCAAAGTATGAATTGCACCCAGAGGCTGACATTGGGTTTGCACATCTAGTCAGGCCGCCGAGGGCACATCCCACAAACTCAAGATCTTCGCAATTTAACGTCGCAAAGGTGATTACACTCACCAAATTTGAAGAGGATCAGATCAAAACTGTAGGAGGAGTTTGTTAAAGTACAACGTCTGGAAATGGCAAAAACTGCAAAAAAAATTTGAGAGGAATTTCAAAATAGCTGACTTCCTGTTGTGTTTAGGGCTACGCTCCAAGATACTTTTTGTAGGTATTAGGTCAATACATGTACCGATTTCCATACCTGTACGTGAAATGTAGAGCCGGGGCAATGGGGGGTTGAGGGGTCGTATGGGGGGGGGGGCATTTGGCGATTGAGCCATTTTGCCCCAACCAATTCTGAAACCCATATCACATGTACATTTTCACCACTTCTGAAGCGTGTACAAAGTTTCATGAGTTTTCGAGCATGTTTAGGCCCTCAAAAAGGCGATTCACTTTGGAGAATAATAATAAACGGAGCATGCTGCAGAAACAATAGGGTCCTCTCTCCATCGGTGCTCGGGCCCTAAAAGAATAAAAGAATAAAAAAATATATATAAACAAGCCAAAACGAAATAATTTAAAGCGAAAGATAAAGCGGTGTTGGGCTCATGGAACTCTCTCATTAGAATCAAAATGTTTCAACATTTGCGATGTATTTGGATGCTAAACTATTCTTTATTTTAGGCTTTGTTGTACTTCACTCACAAAATCACAAAAATGTGCTTGGAAACATCACAGTGGAGCGGTGCTTACAGTGAATGGTACGAATTATACTACTGACTATTTAAACAGAGTAGTGGAATTTTATCAGACTATTTTATTATCATATTTTATTAAGTCAAGTCAAAATGTATTTATATAGCACAATTTATACAGGACAATTTATGCTTTACATAACAGCATACAAGTAGGCCTACACAACAGACGACAACCAAACAAAATTAAAATACAAATTACAGATTATTAAAAGCAATTGAATAAAAATATGTTTTCACACGTAACTTGAAGATTGACAGCCGATCAGCCATTTACACACATAGACACTACGCAAGTTGCGTAGGGCCCCGCAAATTAGCAAGGCCCCGTCTCCCCCTCGTGTCAAAGCGCGTCAATCAAAGTTTACAATATCGATGAGAAAATTAAGCGGAACTATCCTACTGGTCACGAAAAGAGAGGGGCAAAAAACACCATGAGAGTGAACTGCGGGAACAGTCAGCAATCACATCAGGCAGACTTGTGTTCTCTCCTCTAAAAGATAACCGCGTCGCTCGTTAACATGCGTTCATATGTGCGTGCACGAAATGAAACGCGCACTTTCCAGCAGAAACATCTGTGGGGACCAGTACAACAATATGGGCGTGATGCCACTCCTCATTATAGGCGCACATACTTTTAAAACAAGACAATGATTATCTAGTCTCCAAGTCAGTTTAGTTACAACTCTGCAATAAAGCAAGATGGAAAGCAATCTATTGACATTGACTTGATTTATAGGCTATATTGCATTTAAAATGTTGATTGGCTGGACATACTGGTCAATATGGATGCATATCCCTCAGTAAATAATAACCATCAAGTATTGCTTTTATCATTTAAAACACAGTAACATGCTATGACAAGCCATTTTAGCTTTTATTTATTCATAGGATGCATTTTTGATATCAATAATTAAATTTGTACTATTTAAAATGTGAATTCTTGAAATTAGCCTAAGAATGTACTTTTTCTAGTAACAATGTCTATTTCTGATATCAGGAATTACATTTTCATTAGTAGGCAACTAGTTAAAGGAGTGGGAGCACTGGGGTGTCAGGTGTGACTGTGTGGCAATGGCAAATGGTTTACATGGCTCATGGGTCAGGTAGGAGGGCCCCTTAACAAAATTTTGCTTAGGGCCCCAGGGAGGTCAGGACCCAAGATCGGCTCTAGGGTCCTCTCACCATTGGTGCTCGGGCCCAAATTATACACACGTACATATATTCACAGAGATTGTGACCATATAGGCCTACTGTGTTGTCTATATTAGTAATTGTTCTGTTAATTTGTAACTATAAACCACTAAGTTGTCTGTACCTTTGCATATTCAAGTAAAACTGAAAAAAGAAATACGACAAAGGATGTCACTGGATTCTACAATTTTGTACTTTATTTAGCCCTCAAGGGTGCATATTAGTACCTTAAAGTTAGTCTACATAGTATTACCTAAAAAAAAGCGTACCTTTTAAAAGAGTTCTGCCCCATAGACAGCTTTTGTAAAAAAAAAAAAAAAAAAATTCTGAGAGTGTGGTAGCTGAGCTCAAAAATTAATCAAATAGATCTTTACTTTGAATATGTCAGTTATTTTATTCTCCGTCTTTGGTGAATGTAGAAAAATCAGAACAGCACAGTGCTTAATAAGGATTTGAAAGTGTTCTTGCAAGCAGACTTCCAACTTTTTTTCTTGTAAATTTGCAGTGCATATCTTAAGACCGTTTTAATTAATATATATGTGTGTGTGTGTGAAGCTTATAGTAAATAATAAACTGTAAAATTGCATACGTGAAATTAAACATTTTAAATGAAATACATAAGATAGAACAAACAAAAATGAACATGCATCTCAATAATACTAAAGCTAAATACTACAGTACAATCAGTTATAAAAAAGGGTTTGATGTAACACACTGTGAACAGTAACACACTGTAAACAGAGACGATAACCTGGGTTGGGGCATTGCAAAATGCACAGTGAACTGGAGAACCATTACATGGTATGAAATGAACTGAAAGCTAATTTATTCCTTGTTATTTCACTAAACCTTTTCTTTCTTTTTTTGCACAACTATAAGCAAAATGTACATTCCTGTAAAAATCCCCCTAGTGTAAGTAATATTTAGTACAAAATATTAATGCATGCATGGGCAACCATAGTTCCAAATATCAAATATAAGACAAGTTCTCATATCAAGTCGAACGATACTGTTCAAATCATGTACAGCTTGTTGTACTTCAACTCCAGATATAAAACTTGGCCTAGTATTTTTTTATGCAATAAAGAAATTGCCTCTTTGCTCGTTCCATCTCTCTACCTGTTGGACAGAGTCTTCAGAGCTTCTTCTCTACTCAGGTAAGTACTTTTTGTTCTCCCAAGGAAATGGATAATCAGGTGCCTGGTTGAAGTGACCCATGAGGAAGATGGCCACTGTTCCAACAGAGAATAGCAATATGGCTGCCCAGAAACAAACCTTGTCAATCATCTTTCCAATCAGCACCCAACTCTCCATCTCCTGAGAAAAAAAGAGGAACAACATGATGAAAAACAAGATAAATAAAACAGTGTGTTGGTGGAGACGACCGCACTTATGATGTTTATAAAAGTGTTCTCTTGCTAGGACACAAACACACACTTACAGATCCGATGTCATTCTGGTGCTTAGTGGATTCAGCAATGAAGTTACAGGCATCCACACACTCTTTTATTTCTGGTGCTGTCTTTGCCAGACTCTTATATAGGTTTGCCGTACTGCTCACATCAATTTCATCCACTAGAGGGAGACATACACAAACACATTTGAAGCTACATAGGAATTAAATGTTTTACACACTACACCACTAATTTTTAAATTTGGCATGAAACAGAAGTTGAAATCGTTTTTTTCTTCCATATTGTGGTGTATAGCCAAGTAAAACGGCTTCTGGAATGAGAAAAAAATGTAGGGCAGGACTGGATTTCGTCTTCGGGAATTGATTGGATCATTGGAAGTTGGTCTTTTCTAACCAAATGGAGGCAGATCTGAATACCAGTTTACAATCAGTTGTGGAGGATATTTAGTCCCACCCTCTGCTGAGACATACATCATGAAGAGAACAAATGTCATTTCGAGGGGGAGGGGAGGTTAGCATATTTGATTGAGAGTGCACATGAATAAAAAAAAAACAATGATGTGCACGGACATTTCCTTCATAATAAACACTGCAACATTCTTAAAAAAAAGAAAAAAATTGTCCATTTTGATTTCATTGAATCAAAATTTTATGGAACATTGCACTGTTTATTAAATACGATTTATCCGTGCACATCATTATTTCTTTCAAATTCATCTGCCCCTATAATCTTTAATCAACATAACTTCCCCTCCGTCTTGTAACGACGTCTCATCTCTTCTCTGATGAAGTGTCTACTGGCAAGAGGGCGGGACAACCTTTCACTCAGATGAGATCACAGCAATAGCAAACCACAACCTTTCAATTAATTCCTAATGGACAAGATCAAGTTCCGCCCAACAAGAAGCCGTTTCACTTGGATACTTCCGATTTATGTATGCACATGTATGCATCTGTAGTTCACTATATTACTGTATAATAATGAATTCTTTAGGTAAGTGAATGTTTGAATTTGTTTTACCAATTGAGCGCATGAGTCCATGTCTTTCTCTCTGTTTATCAAACATCATCTCGCTGCGTGGCTGTTTCAAAACATATTCCTCTGCCCTCTGCATCAGCCCAAACGAACTGCGGCGCCTCTCCCTCATTTCATACGTCCCTCCAACTGGCTCCTCCTCATCCACAAATGAGGCCATGCCAAGGAAACGAGGGACCACCACGAGGAAAATCTAGTGGATATAAGAGAAGTACAGTAAAAGAAGGACTACAGATTCAGCGATATTCATAATTGGGAAATGTGATATATTTAGGACAAAACACACATAAACGCACATGTTTGATGGTGTGCGACATGTTGTGTGTACTAGGACTGCGGAGGGAGAAGTTGAGGACAATAATGCAGTTGGTCACGATCAGTGTGGTCATACACATGACGAAAATTAAATACCTAAAACAAAGCAAGAAAGAATGGAATTAAAGCCAGTAAGACTGATAAAACTTGGTTTAAAAATTCAGCTGTCTAAACACTGACACTCACTTGCCAATAAGAGGCACGGAAAGTGACGTTTCTGGAATCTTCTGACCAATCAGGAAGAGAAACACAGTCTGAGCCAACAGTACAGAAATGGACACAGTCAACTTCTGCCCTCCAGCTAAAAGAGACAGAAAGAAAGATAAACAGTGTACAGAGACAGACAGAGTGCAAAAGAGATATGACAGACAGAGGGAGTACCACTACCAACACTGTAAGACAAATAGAAAGGGATCTTAATACTGTATTTTGAGGCATACTGTACATTAACCTCAGAATATCTACAGATGCAAACACCTTTTGCAGGTAGAAAAAAGGCCAGAACAACCAGAGAGGAGATGAGAGAGCAGGGCAGGATGATGTTGATGATGTAGAAGAGTGGTTTCCGCTGGATGATGAGGTTGAAATACACCTCCTGGTACTCTAGGTCATCGGGGGAGTAACGTGAGTTAATCATCTTACGGGCGGGACGGTGCTTGATTGCCCACTCCCCGTTTTCTGTGAGAACATATAATTAGAGCATCGATGAACTTTCCTCTTAGTATTAAATATGAAGTAATAAATGCTTTGTACAGTGATGTGTTTGTTGTACAACTGAAAAATTATATATATATATTTTTTTTTTTTTTACAGACTCCCTGTTTTATCTGTTCTTGATTTATGCTTTAAAGGGTTAGTTCACCCAAAAATGAAGATTCTGTCAGTAATTACTCACCCTCATGTTGTTCCAACCCTGTAAGACTTGCGTTCATCTTCGGAACACAAATTAAGATATTTTTTATTAAATCTGAGAGCTGGATCACTCCTCCATAGGCTTCTAAGGGATCAAAACTTGCCGGCCCAAAAGTTATGAAAGACATCGTTAAAATAGTCCGAGTGACTACAGTGGCTCAACCTTAAGTTTATCAAGCGACGAGAATACTTTTTGTGTGCAAAAAACAAACAAAAATAACGACTTTATTCAACTAATCATTTCCTTCTCTGTACGGCCGTGATATTTCACGTAGTGATATTGCGCAAAGCTTCTAGGTTGCACGTCACACGTAGGCTCACTATTGGCCAACGCTGGTCATGTGTGTGATGCTTTACGTACAACCTGGAAGCTTTGCGCAATATCACTACGTGAAATATCACGACCCACAGAGAAGGAAATGATTAGTTGAATAAAGTCATTATTTTTGTTTGTTTTTTGCGCACAAAAAGTATTCTCGTCGCTTGATAAACTTAAGGTTGAGCCACCGTAGTCACTTGGACTATTTTAACGATGTCTTTCATAACTTTTGGGCCGGCCAGTTTTGATCCCTTAGAAGCCTATTGAGGAGTGATCCAGCTCTCAGATTTAATCAAAATTATCTTAATTTGCGTTCCGAAGATGAACGAAAGTCTTACGGGTTGGAACAACATGAGGGTGAGTAATTACTGACAGAATTTTCATTTTTGGTGTAGTCTCATGTTTCATGTTTTTGTGTGTAGTCTCTTATGCTAACCAAGGCTGCATTTTATCATCAAATATACAGTAAAAAAACATTTGTGAAATATTACAATTTCACAATTACAACTGTTTTCTATTTGAATATATTTTAAAATGTAATTTATTTATGTGATGGCAAAGCTGAATTTTCAGAAGTCATTACTCCAGTCTTCAGTGTCACATGATCATTCAGAAATCATTTTAATATGCTGATTTGGTGCTCAAGACACATTTCTTATTATTATCAATGGTATAAACTGTTTTTCTGTTTCATATTTTGTGGAAACTGGGATGCGTTTTTTGCAGGATTCTTTAATGAATAGAAATTTCAATAGAACAGCATTTATTTGAAATAAAAATATTTAGCAACATTATAAATGTCTTTCCTGTCACTTTTGATCAAATTAAGTCTGTCCTTACTGAATAAAGGTATTAATTTCTTTAAAAAAAATCTAGAGATCTCAAATTTGTGTCTTAGTGTGTGTGTGTGTGTGTGTGTCTGTGAATAATAAATCGTAAATTGTGCACCTGTGAAGGCCTCAGGATCGATGTCCACCCACTCAATAGGCTTCCCTGTATCTGCATCTTCTGCCAATACCATAATAATTTCATTTGCACTGTATGTCTGAGACCTGTAGATGTAAAATAAAATATATCTAGCTTTAAATAAAAAGAAATAATAAAAATGAAAAAGTCATGAATCTCCATGAACCCATGAGACTTGCATTTAGACTCAAATCTCACTCTGTGCCAACCTGAAGATTAGTGTGCAGTTCTGCCAGTCAAAAGGGAAGTAGGTGATCTCAATGGTACAGGTACTGCGGTAGATGGCAGGGGGAAGCCAGTACATGGAGCCGTCATTATATATCAACACATTAGCATAGTATGCCACATCAAACTTGCCATCAATGCTGTGAAGAGAGTAGAAAAGAGGTAATTTTTCAAGTGACAAGAGAGAAAATATTGGAAAACTTACTCTTTTACTGCTAGAGCTAACTCACTTGTTTTCCAAAACTATGTCTGGTAGCCACACAGTGTTGTATGGCACACGGATCGTATCAATGCCGTGATATTCAGATGCATTCCATGCAAGACGGTAATCCTGCCATTGCTAAAGAGCAGAAACATGAAAGAAGAAAAGCAGGAATTGGCAGGACATAGAACAGAAAAAAAGAAGTGCAGACAGACACATGTACCGCGTTATAAGACATTTTAGATTATAATAGTGAACTAATGAAGGAGAAAAATAGGAGAGAGAAAATTGTTCAGAAAAAGGATCAAGTAAATATGGAGAGATGATGCAAAGGAATAAGAAAAAGCTAAAAAAAAAAAAAAGCTAAATATTTTTCATCTTGAAATATAAGATAATTAAAATAAATGATTATGAAAGATACATTTTTTCTTTGAAGCATCTTGAAGGCCATTCACACAAATCAAGTTTTTGTATCCTACTGCACTGCGTATTGTTTTTCTGTAAACACACGAGACAGACGTCTTTAAATGTGTAGAATGCCATGCCAAGTTTAACTTTTGAAAAATGTTTTGTTTCTTTTTTTACACTAGGTATCACATTTTTAGTCTGCATGAAATGGAAATTCACCTGGTCAAAATGCATGTTATTGATCTTATGTAGATGAATTTATGTAGCCTATATGCTTTTTTTAAGCACATCATTTTTAATCAAAATGTCATAAGTGTTCTGGGAAAAGTCAGCTCTCTCCTTTGTGATGTATGCCTGACTTCTATAATCATTGAAATCTGCTGCCTTAAACCCTGTCCCTTTTTTTTTTTTTTTTTTTACAATGGACTGCAAGCTCTCAAACTGCCTCCATCTAATCAACAGAAGAGAGTACTATCCCTACATTGTTTTCTTTTTCGATGATCTGTTTCACTCGAATGCATGAAAAAATCTGTCGTTACTTCTGTTCCATTACAACTTTAAACGTAAAAACACGTTTTGTGTGAGCGGCCCCTAGGAGGTTGCATAAAATACTTACAATCTCAATCCAAACATTTGTAGTGAGAGTCTCCTCTATTTCATTCTGTTCAGGGAAGAAAAGTTTCTAAATGTAAATAGTCTCTAGCGGTTGCACTGTGCACAGTCCCTATTGAATATATAATTGAATTAACTAGAAAGGAATCTACAAACATTATCTATATATTGCCAAAATATTTTATAATATACTAGCAATGATGTACATGCACATTTCTAAAACAAATTTTATGTTATTTGTAATATTTCAGCTTATATTTATTTTTTACATCTATTTAGATCACTGATACATTGTATTGATATATGTCTGTTTACTAAAAACTCACAATACTTGTTACTGTTGGCAGGGAGATTAGTTACCAAGGAGATGAGGTTGGTAAGGGTTAACTTGACCTGAACCTTCACTTTTTCATCAATGTTTCTTGCTGGTCGAATATTTTTATTGTAGTTCTTAAACTTATCTGCAATCAACTGCCTCTCCTCATTTCCACTGACTGCAAAATAAAGAATGAAAGATAGAAATTAGCTTTAAAACGTACTAACAAAAACATTGTTAGTAGACATATTGAATAAATTAGTGAAAGTGTGAAAACTGAGAGTTTAGAGAACTTATTACTAAAAGTTAACATCGCAATATTTTAGATTTCCTAGGAAGATTTATCAATTATACCGCAGTTTTCATTCCATTGTAATGCGTGTACAAGATTCCAAATCATAACATAATATGCATTAATACTTTACTGACTCAGCACTGTAAACCCAATAAAGCACAGTAGCTTACACTGCAGTAACCCCTAAACACAATGTTAATGTTTGTAACAGCTTTATATTAGCTACATTTTTATAGGCCTATTATTAAATATCCACAACTTAGAAAGGACCTTTATAAAATATAATGCACTTCAATATAAAGCTGCCCGCGGTCACAGTGCATTGGCAAGTGTGATAAAGACGGACTGTTTGAAGTACACAAGAGCACGTACCTTGTAATACTAATACAGTGGCCACGAGCGCAAAAGCAAATACACACGTCCTGCCGAACCGGTCGGCCATGGCCATTGTCGCCAAAAGACGGTCTTGAAAGTTGGTAACAAAGAGACAGGTCTGCGCTACTTTCCAGCAGTCAGTAACCAAGCTCTCTCTCTTCTCTTCGGTGCTACAGCTGTCACTACACGAGGCTCGAGTTACAGAGGCTCTTAAAGTCACATTCACTAATCGCCACCACTAATAATAATAAGCAACAATGATTCAGATTATGTAGGCCACTTCTCAAGTATGACTGTATGTAGTCTCAGATATTATGAATAGGGCCAAAAACATGCTGAAAGGAGTGTGAATTTCAAGTGCCAGTCTCTTTGGTTCACTCAACTGCTGCGCGAGCTCATGATGATAGTCGTGCATTTCGAGTATCATAATAGCTTAATGACGATACGTATAACAGTTATTGATAGTGTTGTTCAGCCTTAGGGAATTGTGTTTCAGTCTGAAGAAATGATAAGCAATGCCAACAGGTGTACGGGACGGGACGGGACGGGACGGGACGGGACGGGAGGGGAGGGGAGGGGAGCGGAGGGGGGCTTAAGGGCCATAGTGTTGATGTCTCCCATGCACATGGGTATAAATAACCAGGGCTCTGCTCCATGTATTACTGGAACAAAGTAAATGCAGGGGTTATGGAGCCATTAATAGTGTTTTGTGTTGTATTAGCCTATTTGCCTACACTCTAAGAAAAGTCTGTAAAAATAGGCTCCAATGTTAACATGAAGGATTTTTCAGTATTGATTTTTTTTCACTGGTGTTTTACTTGGATTTTCAATTACGCATTGCATAAATTAACAGATGTCCTGGTAGAAAATTGCCATTACCTTTCCTTTGTCTACAGATTTTTTTTCTCACATTGTACATGGGGACCAATTGTCCTCACACAAATATAAAACTTGAAATCATTGGCATGTCTTATGAGGAAAACATCTACGCAATAGGGTTTGGCAGTAGGGGTAGGGGACAGATAATATTATAGCTCAGTATCAAACCAATAAAGGTCAATAGAAAAGTTTGTGTGTGTGCAAGGGAGCAACGAGAACTGTTAAAATTTATTTTTGTTCCCATGAAAAGCTGAACAGTGAGTTCAACAATAAGAGATGTCTGAGTGGTGAGCTCATGTACAAAATGTCCTGCATGTCAGGTTTTAAATGATTTATGAGGTCCAGCACACACTATGATAACTGACACTACACTGTAAAAACTAAAGGTGCCTCAAATATCCTGTTGGATACTCAAGGAACTTCAAGTGCCTCAAAGCTCTTTCTCCTATATGGTTACTGGAGGAGCACTGACAATCTTTGCAGTTCTTGCAAAGGTTCCTCCAGGCACCTTTTCTTTTTACAGTGTAATGGGCTGCGTTCCAGTCCAAAATTGTCATGCCCTTCACTCGCTAACTTCCCTCCGTCTCGTTCACTCGGATGTACGTCATTGCTTACGTTGCATGTGTGCCCACTACTGGCGGAAACCAAGGGGGTAATCCATCAGCCGGAAGTTGAAGTTGCCTCCGGGGGCCGCCATTGTAGCTGGCTATCACCTGCTGTTAGCATCCCATTGACTCCCATTCATTTTGGCGTCACTTTGACAGCGAATAACTTTACATCCGAGGCGTCCAAAGACTCCATTTGTCCATTATTTATTTCTAAAGAAACACGACAATGTATAAAAGGCTCCATTACTTTGTATCTTACGTTATGGCCCCGTAGAAGCCATTCTTGTAAAAATAGGCTAACGATTGCGTCATAACCATGGGACGCTCTGTCGCACAGTAGAGAAATTACCGTATAGACTGAAGTAGAAGCTCGTAGGCAATCGTTTACTGTCTATGAGGCAATCGGGTGGACATGGACTATTTATAAAGTCAAGGGAGAAGCCCATAGACAGAGAGTTCATAAAAGCAACGGGACAAAATATTTCAACAACAGATTTGTTTCAGATTTCAATTCAGATTTGTCCCGGCACAGCTACTAGAAGGTCAGAACGGTTGCTCACGTGACAACTACGTCGTCAAGCTCAGTTTGAGCCTGCGCAGTGCGCTTGGCTATCAGGAAGTGAGAACCAATGTTGGGCTTCAACTCTCTCCGTTGAAATCAATGGGGTCGCTGTGTCCATTTCTTTTACTGTCTATGGCGGAAACCACAATGAGCTGAACTGGAACGTCCTAAGCCCTTGATCACTTTGAATCAGCTATGAGTTGATTTATTATTTACTTTTTTTCCCTTTAAGAATTTGTTTAATGCAGCATCCACATGTATATAGGCCTAGGTGTGTTTGGGTTATTTTAAAATAAATACATAAATTATAATTAATATATCATAGAGTGTTTGTTGTGGTGGTGATTAGACGATCTGTGGTTACGTCACAATCGTACTGCATTGTGGGACATATAGATGCCTGAAGTGTACATATGAAGTGGACTCGCTCCCTCTGTCTAAATCGAGGGAACGAGTGTCTGTCCATATAAACTTCCCTCGTTCACTTCACGAAGTGGAACGCACTTCAAAATGGCGGCAGTGTGATAGCAATCCGTCTTGATATTCATCTTTGTTACTTCTTCATGTTTAGGTGAGCGTGATTTGAACTCGAATAACATACCATAGTCCAGCAACTTCTTTTCGGTCAAGTTTAATAACAAAATTAACTGGAAAATGTTACACGGTCAAAAAACTGTATCGCTCCAACATTGCTTCACAAGAAAAACTAACTGTCATTGCCGGAAATTACATCATCGTTAATACAAAATATTATATTACACATATAAAATTATTTACTTCTAATTATTTATTGATTGCTTAATGCACACAATTATTTCTTCCGCATCTATGTAAAGAAAAGTGACTTATGGCTCTTACACATCCGGCCCCTAATAGGTTGGTCAAGAGACCAAACAATTACTATAAACATCCTAATACTAAAGAGCCATTAGACTTGAACATGTATACATAAGAATTAACTTTCAACCTTTTCTTAGATTATCATACTCTTGATAATTCTATGTTAGACTGTAAGCTTAAATTGCCTCTTGAATTAAGCACAACTTATTTACAGGTCTCTCCAGTGTACTTGTTTTGGTCTTTAGCTTTACACGACGTACAGTTCCACTGGAGTCTGGTAAAGTTTGAATTACTCTTCCCATTATCCATGAATTGCGAGGGGAGGAACTGTCCACAATTAACACCACATCACCAGGTACAAAGTTCCTTTTAAATCTTGACCATTTGCTGCGTTCCTGAAGAATGGGCAGGTACTCACGAGTCCATCTTATCCAGAACAAGTCTGCTAGATACTGTACTTGTCTCCAACGTTTTCTCGCATATTGGTCCTCCTTGTTAAAGACACCTGGTGGTAAGCTTGGTTGTGTTTTCAACAACAATAAATGATTAGGCGTTAGAGCCTCAAGGTCATTTGGATCTTCTGATGTACTAGTTATTGGTCTGTTGTTGATGATGCTTTCCACTTCACACATGATGGTATGAAGACTGTCTTCATTGATAGTCTGTTCCTTTAAGAGAGCGTTGAGTATCTTTCTTACAGTACGGATTTGTCGCTCCCAAACACCACCTTGATGAGAAGCAGTTGGGCTGTTGAAGATCCATTCGATCCCTTTTTGTAACAGTGCCTTTTCGATTTTGTTATGGTCCAGGTTTCTCAGTGCTTCTCGCAACTCTCTTTCTGCGCCAACAAAATTTGTGCCATTGTCTGAGCGCATGACTGACACCTGTCCTCTTCTACTTATAAAACGCCTTAAAGCGTTTATGCATGAATCAGTGTCCAGACTATCAGCGATCTCAATGTGTACTGCTCTGATTGTTAGGCAAGTGAACAACACTCCATACCTTTTCACAGTATTCCGGCCCCGTTTTACATCGAAGGGTCCAAAATAATCTACGCCCACATTCGTGAAAGGGGGTTTATCAGGTAGCAAGCGGTCTTCTGGCAAACTTGCCATTTTTTGCTCTCCAATTCTTCCATTGAATCTGCGACAAACTGAGCATTTATGTATAAGCTTCCGAATTGCTGAGTTGGCTTGCGGGACCCAGAATTTTTGTCGGAGAGTAGATAACATGTAGTTTCTACCACAGTGACCACATCTTTGGTGAATGTCGTTTAGAATGAGAATTGAAACCCTGGAGCCCTTTGAGAGGATTGCGGGATGTTTAGATTCCTCTGGCATGGCTGCTTTGTTGAGTCTCCCACCCACTCTTAGTATCCCATCTTGAAGCACAGGATCAAGCTTGTACAGCTGACTTTTCCTCTTAACAGGAATATTCTTTCTCAGAGCCTCAATTTCATTCAGAAATTGTTGTTTTTGACTGTGTTGAATTAACTGGATTTCAGCTTGATTCAAGTCCTTCAGTCTCAGTGACTTTTTCTCCATTGTTGATCTGAACTTTCGCATCTGCTCCTGTAGGAGGAATGATTGTTTTTCTGGGTCTTTCTCTGATTGTGCAATGGATTCTTGAAACTGTCTTCTTGCTTTACACAATTGTAACAGTGTTTCCTTGAGTCTTAGCATCCATGCCACTGCCTTTTTCAGACGAAACCAGCTTGAGTAATAATGAGTTAACTTACTCAGAACGTCATTGTTTTCTCTCATGTTGAGAATATTGACCTTGAACTCATTTTTGATTTCAGGGTCTGATTGTGCATTTTGACTCAATTGATCCGGTCTTTGTGGCCATTCTTCTTCTGGTTTCAACAAAAAGTTGGGTCCTTTAACCCACGTTTCTTCTTGTATAAAGTCCTTCGCTTTAAGACCTCTGGTAGCTTGATCTGCGGGGTTTTGTGATGTCCTGACATACCTCCACTGTAATGGAGTAGTAGCATCTCTTATTAGTGAGATCCTGTTTGCTACGAATGTTTTGAAGCGCGCACTCTCATTGTCGATGTAACTAAGCACTGTAGTGCTGTCTGTCCAGAAAACAGACCGCTGTAGCGGGATTTGAAGCTCTTGTCTTAGTATTTTGTCTACTTTGACGGCTATGGTTGCTGCTGTCAGTTCAAGTCTAGGGATTGTGATTTGCTTGAGTGGGCTAACTCTTGACTTTCCCATCAACAAGGAACAATGTTTTTGATTTTTGTCATTGGAAAGTACC